CATATCTCTATGTGTTGCTTGAATATTCTCTCCAGTATTGATCTGCTTCCTTATCTTCAACTGAAGAATCTTCAGAAGCATTCTTATGATTTTTTTATTCGGAAATCTGATCTCTGTAGGTAGCTAATCTGGTTTGAATACAATTTTCTTCCTTTAATTTCTGAATTTCCTTTGCTGCATTTGTAAGATGTCGTGAAGAATGTTCCCCTATGGTCAAACTTCTGTCTTTTGTTGTTTCAACCTTCTTCAATAAATTATTTTCTCCTGCATAACCATGCTGTTTGTTTCTGAGTGGCATGTAGCTATGAGTTTTTTTTCCATAACTAACTCTTACTTGAAATTATTTCTAATGAACTAGATGAACACTTAAAGATCTACTTTTATAGTGTGTTTTAAGTAGTCAAGTACCTTCCTGTACCAACTAAGGGGGAGTTTACATTGATCTAAGAGGGAGTTTACATATTTTCTCTTTTCTGATAAGTGTTAAGAAAGTTAAAGTTAAAGTTTTCTTGAAAAGTAGAACTTAGGATAAGTTCTCAGAACTTAACTTTGGACTATTAAACTCAGGGGGAGCTTACAAACCTCGAACCCTGCTGTTGCTAAGAAAACTGAATATATTTTAAAATTTCTTTGAAACTAAACTCAGTGGGAGCTTACACATCTCGTGCTCTGATGGTATCTAAGAAGCTTTAAAATAGCCCAAACATTGTTTTTTAAATATTCTTGTTTGTCATCATCAAAAAGGGGGAGATTGTTAAAACAATATTTACTCTTGATGATTTCCACTTTGGTTTTGATGATAAAAATAGTATTAAAAGAATAATGGTATTATTTAATATTTCATTATGTGTGCAGGTCATAATACTTAAAGAATCTTACTCAAAGTCTGTTGAGAAGGAACAACTGTTACAAAGAAGAACTTATTATCAAGCTATTTTCTAGAACGGATTCTGATGTTGATTATCTCAGCATCTGAAGAAGCATCTCGTTGGTTCTACTCTCAAAATTGACCAAGGCTTTTAACAAGGCTCAAGAAGTGTTGATGTATGGATAATCTCTCCCAACGACTCTATAAGTACAAGTTTCCTCTGAAGATTTAATGGTTAAAGAGTTCACCTCTTATACTGAAAAAGAGATCAAAGTACTTTCTGATCATTCATCCTTCAACGACTAGTTCACAGAAAACTACTATTTAAGAAATCAGAAGTTCTACTAAAAACTTGAACAAGAGAGAAATAAGAAGCGACCAAAGGATAGAGGTGTTAAACACCCTTGTCTAATTGAAGAAGAAAATATGAACAATGATCATCACTTATGTATATGCATAACCCATTATTACTGTTGTAAAATATAATAAGGCTTGAGGATTTCCTAAAAATACAGAATGTCCAAGAAATCCTTAATTACTCAAATCCTGGATAAGATCATCTCTCTGAAGCTAATACACCTTGTTCCCCTTTCTTTTGAATATGATGTTCTTAAGCAAAGGCAAAGTCTTGGACATGAGGTTAGAGCAAAGAAGTTTTAGACATGAGGTTTAAGCATAGGAAAAGTCTTGGACAAGAGGTATGAGCAAAATAGTCTTAGACATGAGGTCTAAGCAAAGGCAAAGTCTTGGACTGGAGGTTCAAGAAAAGAAGTCTTAGACATGAGCTCTAAGCAAAGGCAAAGTCTTGAACATGAGGTATGAGCAAAGAAGTCTTAAACATGAGCTCTAAGCAAATGCAAAGTCTTGAACAAGAGGTCTGATCAAAGAAGTCTTAGACACGAGTTCTAAGCAAGGTAAAGTCTTAGACACAAGCTCTATGCAAGGTAAAGTCTTAAACACGAGTTCTAAATAAGGAAAAGTCTTAGACACAAGCTCAAAGCAAGGTAAAGTCTTAGACACGAGCTCTAAACAAGGAAAAGTCTTAGACATAAGCTCTAAGCATGGTAAAGTCTTAAACACGAGCTCTAAGCAAGGAAAAGTCTTAGGCAGGTGGTCTAAGTAAGAAGAAGTCTCAATAAGGAGCTGATTGAGCAGGTGAAGTCTTAGCCACAACCTCTAAGCAAAATATTTTTTTTAATCAAGATCTAGTTAAACAGAATTGATTCAGACTGTAAGTCAGTGTTGTAAAGAGTCTTATGTTTAAATACATAAGCAAGTGTACTCAATCATTGGTTATAGTAAAAATCTCTTGCTAAGCAAATAGACTGAAGTACTCTTAGTTGGGAGAGTAACCGATATAAATATGTTGTGTCCCTGTGTTGTTTACTTTGTATCTGACTTCAGTTCTGCTGCATTTCTGATCTGGTTCTGAACATCTATTTAGAATCACATATGTCTTCTAAACATCTGAAGAAACGAGAAATAATATGCATTTTTGCAACACACAGTTCAACCCTTCTTTTTGTGTATTTTCCTACCTTCAGATAATGTCATATCCATTCATCTCTGATGGTTATAGTTGCAAGGCACTTGTGATCCATCACATTAAGCTCAATCTTAAAGGTTCTATTCTGAGACATATGAGCCTTCAAGATTAACCTTCCTCATGAGTTGAGAACTCTCATCATCTTGTCTTCGATCGACACCTTGTAGTTCTTTTCGACCAACTGCCCTATGTTGAGCAAACTACTCTTCATGTCCGATATGTACAACACATTGGAAATTATTGACCTCTTGCCATCTTTCCTCATAAGCAGAACATCACCAATACCTTCAACTGTTAGAGTATTGTCATTTGCAAATTTCACCATGTTCTTTATTGAGGGCTTTATGTTGACAAACCAATCTTTCCTACCAGTCATGTGTGATGAGCATCCTGAGTCCAAGTACCATTGGTCCTAATTCATCTATTGTTTTGACCATTAGCAACATCTCTTCTTCTTCTTCTTCATGTTTCGTCAGCTTTGCATCATTTTCTTGATTCTTCTTCTTTTCTAGACAATCATTAAAATAATGACCATACTTCTGACAATTGTAACACTGAATGTGGATTTTGTCAGGTTTTCGACCATCACCTCTTACTTTACCTGCAACACCACCTCTTTGGTTGCCTTGATTCCATGGTTTTCTTTTATTCGATCAATTTCTTTCTTGCTAATTTCGACCAGTTGAATTGTTGTAGCCTTCTCTGCCTTTGTTGTCATTCCAACTTCCTTTTCCTTTCTTTTCTTTTTCTGACTGCTCTTACAAAGCCATATCACTCATCGACTTTCATGCAGCTGTTTCAGCCATCCTTTGTTCATTAGACTCAAGCGTCCCTTGAAGCTCTTCCTTCGTCAATGCTGACAAGTCTTTCGACTCCTCTATGGCTACTACCACGTGGTCGAACTTTGGAGTCAATGACCTCAAGACCTTTGCAACAACTGATCTTGATGTCAACACTTCTCCATATACCTTGATTTGATTCACCAGTTTAGTAACCTTAGTGAAGAAACCATTTATGCTTTCACTTTCTTCTATCTGAAGCAATTCATACGTCCTTCTGTAAGTTTGTAACCTCACCTCTTTCACCTTCTCTGCGCCTCCAAACAATTTCTCCAAGATTTCCCATGCTTCTTTCACTGATTCTACATCACTAACCTTTTCAAAGTTATCTGAGTCAACACATTGATGGATTATAAAGAGAGCTTTATAATCTTTCTTCTTCAATTCTTTGTATACATCATTTTCTTGATCTGCCGCATTTTCTACAAGCGGTGCTACTTCTCCTTTCACAAGATCCCAAAGATCTTGATGACAGAAAACCATCTTTATCTACTTGCACCAATTCTCATAATTATTGTTCTTGAGAATTGGAAAGTTCGTCGGAAAATGCCAGTTTGGATGATTCAGCGTCATCGTGATTTTTCTTCCTTCGACACAACTAGGCTCTGATATCAGATGTTGGAATTAACCCAAAATCTTTTGAGAATTCTTAATCAATCTTGATATCAATAAAGATTATGCGCAACAACTGTTAATAAAAAGAAAGTGAGAAAGAAAGAAAAAGTTTAACAAAATCAAAGGAAGAAGATAATGATTTTCATCTGCAGAATCTCCGACCACAAACTGTGAAAAACTTCTTCATTCACTTTGCAATTGTTAAAAATCTGTGAATACAAATTATTACAAAACAGGGGTTACTTCTTCTATTTATAATAGAAAAAGGCACAAAATTACAAAGATCCAAAAATTACTATTTTTGTTCTAAGTCGAAATTATGTGTCGAACAACCTGATTCGACATCTAAACAACTCGACACACTTTAAACTAATTACAACTAATCCTTATTTTTGTCGAATTACACTTCTTCGATACAAGAAATTTCATTTTCAACACTTAAAAGACGACTTGTTACTAAATGCCATTCACTTTTCTTTAGTTTTTATTTTCATTGGTTCTATTCTTCCGACTTTGAAACTTCTTTTACAAGATGATCTAAAAAAATGCCAGCTTACCTTATTAGATTTTGTAATTTAATTCCTTCTCAAACTTAAAATAAAAAAGATAAATTTTAGTCAAAATAAAAAAGTGTATAACTCATTCGTGTGGACCAAGTATGGTTCCTTTAAATGTCTGTCGTTTCTCAGACATGCAATGTCACACACCACGCGCCTCACTCACTCACGTATCACCAACACCTCTTCCCATTGGACTTCACCGGCGCGTACACTCCACACCCACACAAACAAGTGTTAAAAATCTTTATCTTTTGAATCTCTCCCTGATCAACGGCTTCCTCACACTGCTCCAACACTTTAATCACAACTTTCAAAAAATGTTTTTTTTCACCCTATTTCATAAAAAACTCATAAAATAATAGAGTAAAACCAAAGCATTCATTTTCTTTTTTATATTCAAGCTTCAAATTATTACCATTATTTTTAGTTCAAACCTCAAGGTTCAAATCTTGGTCTACACTCTCATTACACTCACTCCACCCACTAAAAAAATTCATCACTTCAACTTCAACATTCTCTCTCTTTGAATGCTGCAAGTGAAACTAGTTTCATTCCCACCATAGAACTTCAAAATGAAAATCACCATTCTAGCTTCTACTCTCTTTGTGATCTTAACAACACTGTTCAACCATTCTTCTCTTGCTCTCACTCAAGATGGTAACAACTATGAAACCCTTGCTCAACTTTTTTCTACAAATTTTTTTATTCTATTTTTGCTATAAAATAATATTTGCATTTAGTACTTTTCTAACTATTTTAGGATTTTGTTTAAAGATTTAAACTTTTAAGTGTTTTTTTAATCTTTTAGGTCAAACATTGTTGGAGATTAAAAGTACTTGGAATGATACTAAGAATGTTCTTAGCAACTGGCAAGATTTTGATGAGTCTCCTTGTGCATGGACTGGAATCTCATGTCATCCTGATGATGAACAAAGAGTTCGTTCAATGTATGGAACTGTCTCCAACCATGTTCTTCAATTGTTGTGTCTTCATTTTTTTTTCTGAGCTGAATATGATGCTTAATTTGTCTGTTGTTGTTCAGAAATTTGCCTTATATGCAGCTTGGAGGAATAATATCTCCCAGCATTGGTAGACTGAGTAGATTGCAGAGATTGTAAGGAGAAAATGTGCTTCTTCCTATTATTGTGCAATTTACTTTTTTAGATTATTGTCATTCTTATTCTGTTTGGTTGTTTGATGAATCAGAGCACTTCATCAGAATGGCTTGCATGGAATCATTCCGGTTGAAATTACCAATTGTACTGAGCTTAGAGCCTTGTAAGTGAGATAAATAGTTCACTGTTTTTGATGTCATTTTTCTATGTTTTTCTTTTCTAATACAATCATGAATGATTTATTTGACTCTATTGAAAGGTACTTGAGGGCTAATTATTTCCAAGGAGGCATTCCAGCAGGCATTGGAAATCTTTCATTTTTGAATATATTGTATGTCCCTCTCTATCGTTTTACTTCGGTCTCTTTTGTAAATTTAGTAATCTGGTTTGAAGTTTTTCTTAATAAACTATAAATGGTTTTTTTGTTTCTCAAGGGCTTTTTTTTCATTTTCATTTATGATTTTAATGTAAACTTTCAATGTAGGGATGTATCAAGCAATTCATTGAAAGGAGCTATACCTTCCTCCATCGGCCGTCTCTCACATTTGCAAGTTTTGTAAGTCAATTTAGCATATATACTTGAAACATTGATTTTTCAGTTATGCTGATCTTCCTTGTTGTGTTAGGAACTTGTCTACCAATTTCTTTTCTGGTGAAATCCCTGACATTGGAGTACTAAGCACCTTTCAGAAGAACTCGTATGTACTCTTGCCTTATAAGTTTCGTGGTTTGGTTGTGCATTTAGCTCTTGGACCAAATAGGATTTGAAATTTTCTGGAATTTTCTTACATGAACAGGTTTATTGGAAACTTAGATCTTTGTGGAAGGCAAATCCAAAAGCCGTGTCGAACATCACTTGGTTTCCCTGTCGTGATACCACATGCCGTAAGCGATGAAGCTTCAGGTAAGTCATATCCTTGGATTGATTTCAAAATACTATCTAATATGATGACTATGTTCGTAACTGATTTCAATGTTTAGTTTACATTTGCTTGAAAATCAATAATATTTAAATTTATGCAGTCCCTCCAAAAAGATCTTCTTCACATTACTTGAAGGCCGTGCTAATCGGGGCAGTGGCAACCTTGGGCCTTGCACTTATCATAACCCTTTCATTACTCTGGATTCGTTCGTCGTCGAAGAAGGAAAGAGCTGTTAGAAAATACACAGAAGTCAAGAAACAAGTTGATCCATCAGCAAGTAAGGGCAATGTCTCTATGATTACAAACTCCCCTTAATAGCAGAGAAAGAAAAAAGAATCGCGTCTTATATACAAATGCTAACCTATTATTTTAACAGGTGCTAAACTTATTACGTTCCACGGTGATATGCCATACACATCATCTGAAATCATAGAAAAACTAGAGTCTCTTGACGAGGAGGATATCGTAGGGTCAGGAGGATTTGGTACTGTTTACCGAATGGTGATGAATGATTGTGGCACATTTGCTGTTAAGAGGATTGACCGAAGCCGTGAAGGGTCAGATCAAGTGTTTGAAAGGGAACTAGAGATCTTAGGGAGCATCAAACACATAAATTTAGTAAACCTTCGCGGTTATTGCAGACTCCCTTCTTCAAGGCTCCTTATCTATGATTATTTAGCCTTAGGCAGCTTAGATGATCTCTTGCATGGTATGCTAAACTGTTTTGTGTATATTTAAATAACAACTCCTCCTTTAGTTGTGCAATTCTCTTAACTTTTCGACAATTCTATTTTCCTCAGAAAATATTGAACGACAACCCTTGAATTGGAATGATCGTCTAAAGATAACCCTTGGTTCTGCCCGGGGTTTGGCATACTTGCACCATGAATGCTCCCCGAAAATTGTGCACCGTGACATAAAATCTAGCAACATCCTTCTTAATGAAAACATGGAGCCTCACATCTCTGATTTTGGTCTTGCAAAGCTCTTAGTCGATGAAGATGCGCATGTTACCACAGTGGTTGCTGGCACATTTGGCTATTTGGCACCAGGTATGTATTCATTAATTATAGATTCTTAACTCAATTCAGTGAAGTGGATTTTGAATATATCTTGGTAAATAACTAAATAGTTTATGGTATATTATTTATATATCGATCAGAGTATCTTCAAAGTGGGAGAGCGACTGAGAAGTCAGATGTATATAGCTTTGGAGTTCTATTACTCGAACTAGTAACCGGAAAGAGGCCTACGGATCCTTCCTTTGTTAAGAGAGGTTTAAATGTTGTTGGTTGGGTAAGCTTTTAACTCATCCAATGCATATCCGTAGCAACACTGAAAGCTTTCACTCATAGTAATGTATCGAAGTTTTGAATGTTTTTGTAGATGAACACATTATTGAAAGAAAACAGATTGGAAGATGTGGTAGACAGAAGATGCACTGATGCAGATGCTGAGACTCTTGAAGTAATTTTGGAGCTAGCAGCAAGATGCACCGATTCAAATGCAGATGACCGTCCTTCGATGAACCAAGTACTGCAGTTGCTGGAGCAAGAGGTTATGACCCCTTGTCCAAGTGAATTTTACGAGTCTCATTCGGATCACTGATAACGAATGTATCACGAGCTTATCACGAGCTTTTTGTCGGGGTTTCTTCCGGCTAATTATGGTTTGGGTTTGTAGAAAAGTTTTGTACCAAATGTATAACAAGTAACAACCATTTGTGAATAGATTTGTCATTTTTCTTGTCACCTTCTGCTGCTGATGCTGGCGGTGCCAAAAGAAGGGACAATGTGGACTTGGCTGTAGTTTTGTATTTTGAATGCTATCCATTCTTGGCATCTTGCTATAGGAAGGAAATGTTGGCATTTTCTGATTCAAATTATTATGTTTTCTCAATCTCTAGTTTATTTTTATTGGTTACAACAGGAACAATTTTGTGAAGCATTGTGATCAAAATACTGACTGTGAAGCATTATGAACAATATACTTATTGTCAATAAAAATAAGAAATCAATGTAATATAATTTTTTTTACTAAAAGAAAAATACGTTCCTTTTAACTGGTTGAATTTATTGAAAATAATGAAAAATTCAATTTTGTTCAAATATACATAGATGCTTGACTGACAATGGAAATAAAAAATTCGAGATGCTGTAAAGGCAGTAGGGAGGGCACCAAAATGGGTGGATTTTGACAATTGATCCACAACAACTAAGATAGCGTGGAATCTTGAGAAGCGGGGAGGTCAATGATGAAGTCCAGGGTGACATCCTCCCAAACTGATTTCGGAATCAGGAGCGGTTGCAACAGGCACTTGTGTGGAGCATTTGATCTGCTGGAAAGTGAGACAAGAGGTCACAAATGCATCACCTGCTTGTCGGCTGGAAAGTGAGACAAGAGGTCACAAATGCATCACTGTTGAAACTTTAATTAATTAATGGTGGAACTTTAATTAATTAGAGTGTGAATTGGAAACATTTGTTGACAATTAATGATCAATAAATGAACACAAGTGAGAACTAATATAGAAGTGAATTTGAAAAGATTCATTTTAGTCTCACATTGAAGGGAATTGAAATATTAGTAGTGTATATATGTATATTCCAACTTTGTCTATTGGGTTGGGCCCTAAAGGGCACCCAATTTTGTGAAAGGAGTGAGGACACACCCATGACCAAGAAGACACGCGCGCCGCCGTCCGGCTCGGCTCGGTCTAGATGAATTATTTTTTTGGACCCGAATTTCTCCCCACTCAGGTACGAATTTTGATTTCCCTCTTCTCTTCCTTGAGGCGTCGTCGTAAATCGACTGCTTTGCATAATTTGGCAGTACGACGAAACGTCTTAAAGAAAGCGACCTAGTACGCGACTCGTCCCGATAATTTCCTTGTGCCAAACTCAACTTTTTAAATCCGAAAACAACAATCACCTGCTTGAAGCATCTTAGGCCAAAAGAAATTTGCAGCAACGCAAACCAAGGTGCGTTTAACATCGTGACCGCCACTTGGTGTATCGTGAAATTCAGCCAGGACTTGGTTGCATAATGCCGAAGTGGAGCTCAGAACATATCCCCCCTTATGAAGGATAACACCATTTGCTACATAATATATATGAGGAAGGAGTCCCTGTTTGTGTTTGTCATGCAATTCCAAGAAAAAAAAGGCTCTGTTTGATTCTCAAGATGTAGGTGGCGTAAAATTGAGAATGTAGGAGTAGACACTGATGCATAAAACATCAACTACACTATTTGACACATTTGGTTTATAACATAAATAATTACAATGATTAAGAATAGTTTTTAATTATAGTTTAAAGATGAGAAAAATATACAAGAAGATGAATTGAATTGTGTTTTTAAAATATTTTTATTTTTGAACTAGAGTTCAAATTTTAAATCAAAGTTCAAAAATTGATAACAGGTGCAACGGAAAATGTAACACAAGTAAATAAAAACAACAAAGAACACATCATAGTTATCATGGTTTCTCTCCAACTAAGAGTAGTTCAGTCCCCTTGCCACGCAAGAGATTTCCACTATAATCAAACAGATTACAACTGCTTATACCTTTAAGTATAAGACTTTGCCATGCTCAAACCTACAGTCTAAGACATTCTTGCTTAATCATCACTTGATCAAGACTTCTCTGCTTAGATCCTCATATCCTAAGACTTTCCTTGCTTAAACCCACCTAGTTCAAGACTTTCTTACTTAGACACTCTGCCTAAGACTTTTGTGCTCAGACCCTTGGTCCAAGACTTCCTACTCAGATTCCTCGAATCCAAGACTTCACGGCTCAAGCCCAATGTAAGAGACTTTTATCTAAACTGGTTATTTAGAGAAGGAATAACTTACAACAACAATTGAACAACAATTAGAGGTGTTCAAATATAATATAACATACTTTTAACACTAAGGATTCTTAAACTATACAAGAATAAGAACTCTTAACATATTAACTTCTCTTGAGCTGATATGAATGAAATGCGTATGTATCTCAGTTGTAATTGCATCGTTATTCTTTTGGTTTGATCTTTAATTCTTCTGCTCCTCTTATATCTGAAGAAATATAGTCGTTGAAGCATCCTCAACGACTATAATCATATCAAATTTTCTAGTACATGTTCTTTTTCGATAAAGCAGGTGTTGGACTTGTAGATAGAGAATTATCCATAGAACAAGACCTTTGTCTGGAGAACTCTTCTATAAAACAATCATAACACAATCTTTTGAAGATAATGTCAATAATTCTCGAGTCTCATGTTAGCAGAGCTTGAGTTGAGACAACTCAGTTTCAGAGGCAGCCACAACACGCTTCTGATTCTGAAATGTACTAGCAGTAACTTTCTGATCAGACTCTCTCACGAGTACATAGTCAGATCCAAACCAAAGCTACTTCCGTGTCAGAACCAGTATCATCAAGTAAATATTATTCTGAACACAAGAACCAACTAGTTAGAAATCCTAATTATTTTTCAAATACTTTGTTATTATCAAAACCTTAGAGGATACATGGTATGAACCAAATTTGTCTCAACAATCTTCTCCTTTTTGCTGATGGCAACCTTAAGTATTTGAAAACAAATAAGAGTAGATTAATTACTCAACAACTTTCAGGGTCTGAGGTTTGTAAGCTCCCCCTGTGTCAAACAGTCTTAGAGGTGCGGTTTGTAAGCTCCCCCTGAGTCTTATCTGTGAAGTCTAAGAGGTGAGGTTTATAAGCTCTCCTTTATATAAAATAATTAGATCCACTCCAAGAAAAGAGTTTTGTAAGCTCCCCCTGTTTAGGATAATTAACTTTACTCTAAGAATAATCTAAAGAAATACTTAATACATTCTCCCTATTTGTCATCAAGAAAAAGACAAAAGAAAAAAAAGAAGCCTCAACGATTAATAATAGTTTCTAAATAGTTCATGTCTGAACACCAGTCAGGAATAAGTTTGTCAATCAGCCCAGCTTGTTGCACATGAGAAACAACACCTTGTTGAACAAAAATCATTGAAAGAACCCTACCAAAACGAATGAGAAAAGATAATTCCTCATGAGATGTAAGAATCTCTTCTTTCAAATAGTTGAACATAGATTGAGCTAGATTGATTTTAGTTTTGGAGACTAGAAACAGAATGAAGTATTTATCGTCGGGAGAAAGTCATCCCGTCCCCTTTTCTCTAGGCCTTAGATTGGTCCCTGTGATTTGGTACCATACCTTTCCATAGGAGTAAGAGTATAAGGGATTGAAGTAAGGTCTTCTTTATCATAGATGATGTGTATAAGATTCATAAATCTATTGTTATGTTTGTAGAATTCAACAGTAACTCCATCTTCCTCATAATTTATTGCTTGAGAGAAGATTTTAGAGTTGATCATAACAAGAAAAATTATAGACAACAGACATAATCTGACAATCATCTAGCTCATTCTGATGAACATGAGCACTCAACCAAAAATCTTTCACAAGGTCTGAATAGATTGGTCCATCAAGCATTGTAAAATATCCATCCCATTTCTGAAAATGGATATCTGAAACAACCTGAGAAAGATTAATTATCATCAATTCATTGAAATTAACTGTATATTCCTTCAGAATATTTAGATCATAGATCTCTCCTCTAATGTTTTTTGAAGACATATTGAGAAGAAATTCTAGTTTAGGGAACAATGATTTCACAATATCATCTTATATAGAAGATAATACATAAAATCAGGGAAATACACAAGTAACATGACACATAGAATGCTGATTTATAAGCAATCATATATTAAATGTTTGGACAATAATGAGTCTGAATAAAATTAAATCAGAATCTTTGTCAGTATACTCCTTTTAAGAACCAAATTTCAGAGCAGCTTTTGAAAATATGATTGATAAAAGTGTCCTTTCAGTCTCGAGAACAATCACTTCTGAGAAAAAACACAACAACTAAGGTTGAATACTCATAGTACTTTAGCTCGAAAAGCAAGTAAGTGAGAAATTAGCCTTGATGTGAGTTATGTAACAATTTCACTAGAAAAGGAGCGTCAGGGCCAACTGTCTATCAGATCAATAATTCAAAAAGCTTCAAATAGTAGAGTATAAGGCAAGGATTCTTATTTTATTATAACTCAAGATTAGTCTAATAGTTAATTCAAAGCAAATAACATAAAATTAAATATTTTACTTTTTGCTTAAATAAAACAATCAAGGATGAAAAAGGATCCTACACACTATAGTTAAGGCTTATAGAGCATACTTAGAGAAATTTCATATTTAATGAAAAATTCCAACTGAGTGCCATCAAAATCCAATTTTTCTTCCAATACTCAATTCAGTAGATAAGCATTTATTCATTGACAAAGACCATGTTCATATTTCTCTTAATATAATCAAATCTGGCAATGGCTAAGGATTTTGTAAATATATCAGCCCATTGATGATTAATATCAATAAACTGAATATCTATTACATTCTTCTCAACATAGTCTCTTATAAAATAATGTTTGATCTCAATATGCTTAGTTCTAGAATGTTGAATTGGATTCTTTGTTAGACAGATAACAGAAGTGTTATCATACAGAATAGGGATATTGTTTCCAAAAATCTGATAATCTTCAAGTTGATATTTCATCC